GGTTTAAGTTTTTAAGAAAATCAATCCATCCCTAGCAGATCAGATTTTTTGATGCAAATCTTCTGTTTATTACAGGTATTGTGTGAAGACCTTTCTTGGTCATAGGGAATGGGTGAGACGGGTCAAACCAAATGCCRATGGTAAGTACATTTTTAATTTAAACTTAGATACCCTTAAACAACCTCTGAGCTAATCAAGGTCAGGGCACAGCTACAATACCTCTCAGAACAAATGAAACTTTAGTTTGTTTTGTGGAGGGAAGAAAACCAGAGAACCCGGAGAAAACCCTCGAATGAGGGGGAGAGACCTAACAACCTCTACGTGTGTGTGATAACAAGTTTAGGAATCAAACCTAAGACCTCTGAGGAAGTACACTACCACTGTGCAACCTAATGGGAGCTCAAACAAAAAATTGTGTAGAAAAAAGGAAAATTTACATTCTTATTCAATTCACATCCAAAATTAAAGGCTATGGCTATATACTTCTTCCCTGCTGAATAATATAGATATTGGCCTACTTGAATTTGGTTTGACATATTTGATTGTATTATTATTTATTATTCCAGGTTCTCTTTTAGCAAGTTGTTCCAATGACCAGGTAAACCCATAATCTCTATCTTCTAAAACTCATAACTACAGTATTACGTAGGATGCTAATAGGCTCTGGACCGCTCAAGCGTAATGTTTTCCCATTTCAGACCATTTGTCATTCCCTTGAGAATAATATTCTTTGTTTGAGATGTATCCATATTCATGTGTCTTCTCATGTGCAACCAAGCTCAAACCTTAAACAAAGAAATGATACTCTAGGGAATGACACGTGGTCTGAAATGGGACAACATTACATCAGAGCCAAGGAGGTCTATTGATACCCAAGACCAAACAAAAAAGGGGAATAGACCTCTACTGTGGGTGTAATGTTTTCCCATTTCAGACCACATGTTATTCCCTAGAGAATAAAACTCTTTGTTTGAGTTGTATCCATATATTCACATGTCTTCTCATGCACAACTGTTAAACAAAGAAATAATACTCTAGGGTATGACAGTGATCTGAAATGGGAAATATTACGCCCAAGGTAGAGAGGTCTATTCTTCGTTTGCGCATGACGTCATAGCTCGCCATCTTGATTAAACTTACATTGTAACAAACGAATTTTCAATGAAGTATTTCATTATATCAAAAAACATGAAATCAGCAATTCTGACCTGACACACTATTTTTACTTTTTACTATGTTAATTGCRAGTGTTTGTTTCTTTAGACTATAAGAATTTGGGTTGTTGCAAACAAAGAATGCAAGTTTGACTTTCATGATCACGAGCATGTGATTGAAGACATCAATTGGGCACCAGAGACTGCACACCATGTAGTCAACGAAGCTGCAGGAATGGAGGTATGTTAACCTCTCCTGCTCCCATCTAGAACAACAGGGATGGAATCTA